AATTTCAGAGTTCGTTAAGGATGGACGGGGACTTCTGACGTTTCAGGGTTGGATTTGGGTACCGTTTGTGGGCGGTACGCGTATTACTTTGATGGAAGAGGCTCATAGATCGAAATTCTCAATTCATCCCGGTGCTACGAAGATGTATTTGGATTTGAGGAAGGAGTATTGGTGGCCCTGTATGAAGACGGACGTCGCATGGTTCGTTGAGAGGTGCTTGACTTGCCGTAGAGTTAAGGCCGAGCACCAGAGACCGCATGGCAAGTTACAGCCATTGGAGATTCCTGAGTGGAAGTGGGAACAGATCACTATGGATTTCATCACCAAATTGCCGAGAACTGCCAGGGGAGTCGATGCAATTTGGGTGATTGTGGATAGGTTGACGAAGAGTGCACACTTCCTTGCCATCAGCGAGAGTTCATCAGCGGAGAAGTTGGCGGAGTTATATGTGAGAGAAGTAGTATCTCGGCATGGAGTGCCGATCTCGATTGTTTCGGACCGTGATGTACGCTTCACTTCCAGGTTCTAGAAGAAATTCCATGAGGAGCTGGGTACTAAATTGCATTTTAGTACCGCATACCATCCCCAGAGAGAAGGTCAGAGCGAGCGGACGATTCAGACGCTAGAGGACATGCTTCGAGCGTGTGTGTTAGATTTCGGGGGTAGCTGGGATGCGTATTTACCCTTGGCAGAGTTTTCCTACAACAATAGCCATCATTCGAGCATTAGTATGCCACCTTTTGAGCTGTTGTATGGTAGGAGGTGTCGAACCCCCATTTGCTGGGGAGAGGTGGGACAGAGAGTAATGGGCAGTACAGAGATCGTGCTTCAGACGACAGAGCAGATTCAGCAGGTTAGGCAGAGGTTATCGACCGCTCAGAGCCGACAGAAGAGTTATGCGGACAGACGCCGATCCAAACTTGAATTTCAAGTCGGCGACTTCGTTCTCCTGAAGGTCTCTCCTTGGAAAGGAGTAATTCGATTCAGGAAGAGGGGCAAGCTGGGACCCCGGTATATTGGGCCATTTCGTGTAATTGCAAGGATAGGCCGGGTAGCCTATCGTTTGGAGTTGCCAGCAGAGTTGGGGCAAATCCACGACACTTTTCATGTGTCACAATTGAGGAAGTGCATAGCCGATGAGTCGGCAGTGGTTCCATTAGAGGATATTCAGGTGGATGCGAGCCTGAATTATGTTGAGAGACCAGTGGCCATCAGGGATCAGAAGACCAAGGTTCTGAGCAACAAGGAAGTACCTCTGGTGTTGGTTCAGTGGCAACACCGGAAGGGATCGGAAATGACTTGGGAGACGGAACGTGAGATGCGGGAGTAGCATCCGGAACTATTTTCAGAGTGAGACTTCGAGGGCGAAGTCTAATCCTAGTGGGGGAGAATTGTAACAGCCCGGAATCTCAGGTATTGTTAAAATTATGTTTTTGGGGTGTTCTAAGAGGGGACTCGGCAAGTTGGAGCCAGACTCGCCGAGTAGGATCGTAGACCTGGTCGCGGGTTCGCGACTGGACTCGACGAGTCCAGATATGGACTCGGCGAGTCCGCGCTGTTTAGCGAAAACCCTAGCCGTTCAGATTTGGGATGTATAAAAGGGACTTATTGGCTGTCATTGTTCGTTTTAGCCTTCTGAGAAGAACCCTAAATCGATTGTGTGCATCTAGAGCAAGGTTAAAGGCCATTGGTGATTTCGAAGGAGTTGTTGTGCAAGGAAGAGAAGGTCTTGGCTAAAGGAACAGCAAGGGAATCACGTTCTGAGGATTGGGGACACAGAGAGTACATCATCCAGGTAAGAATCCGAGTATGCTCTGCTATGGTGATGTGTTTAGAGGATTAGGGTTTATGGAACCCTTTTTGTGGATGGATTGAATGTTACCCTAGTCCCCCAAACGATTGTAACCCCATGTTGGGACCTTTGGAGGTCCAGAATGTCCCATGCCTGTGCATTTCGGGAAGTGATGAAGGTTTTGGATTGAAATCCTTATGCCTTAGGTCAATATGTAAATTATAAGTCTTGGGGTGTAGCATGAGCACCGAAATGAGGACCTTACGTGATGGACCAGTCTAGGAAGGCCAGACCTATGAATGGTTGGAGCAGTTCTGACCTTAGGAAGCAGTTTGAGCGGCTGCATGGCATGGACTCGCCGAGTCCGATGAACAGACTCGGCGAGTAGCTTGAAGAATAACGGGACTCGTCGAGCTGTTCTTCAGACTCGGCGAGTGGAGTCGGGGTGGCCCCGCGATTCTTCCAGGAGTAACTCGTCGGGTCAAGGAGGATACTCGACGAGTAGAAAGGGAATCTTAGAGGATTGGAGGACGACTAGACTCGCCGAGTCGCCAGGGTACTCGCCGAGTCCGGTCGAGTTGACCGTGGACCGTTGACCAGAGTTGACCTATGTGTGATTTCTTAGGGTCAGTTAACTTGGAAGATAAAAGTGTTAATAAGAGATATATGATGTTATAGGGAGTTTGTAGCTCGGCGGATCGAGTACGAGTGGTTTCAGGAGTTGCTAGCTTTCAGTATCCACGAGGTGAGTCTTCTCACTATACTGTACCCGGAATGGTTTGACTGTGTGACCGGAAGGTCGGATATGATATGTGATATATGTGCTATATGTGGTAAGTTAATTGTTATGCGTGCTGTGTATGTTTATATGGGCCGGAAGGCAATATGTTATGGGCCGGAAGGCAATTATGTTATGGGCCGGAAGGCGTTGTGTTGTGGACCGGAAGGTCATGGCCTGGAAAGGCGTATATGTGTAAGTTGTATATTGGGGAACTCACTAAGCATTTATGCTTACAGTTGTTATGTATGTGTTTCAGGTACTAGCGAGGACCGTGGGAAGGCGCCGGCGTGATGTGTACACACTGATTGATGTTTTGAGATCTTGGGAATTCTATGAATTTTATTTTGACATAACACTTGGAATAATTATGCTTGGTTTGAATGAAAATACTTTATTTTTTAAATGAAAAAAAAATTGGTTTGAACATTTGCGTTGTTACACGTAAACTCCTTTTCCAAGGTCAATTCAAGTCCCAATCACTTCCTAAGCCATTAAATCAACCCTAGAACCTTCCTTTGTGCATTGTAATTAACCTAGGACCACCAAAAACACAATAAGAATGGGTACATGAGATTTTACGGCCATAAACTCCTAGTGTATCCTCAAATGGTCCAAATGTTGTTCAAGTCCCCTTCCATTGCCTTAAAACTGAGCCTAGCATCACCCCACATGAGTTTTAAGACCATTAAGCACCCAAGAACACCCCCACCATGAGTTTACGGCCGTAAACTCATGGGGACATGGTCTTAGGGACATAATATCCTTATGGAGTTTACTCTTCAAGAGCAAACTCCATATTCAGGCCATACATACCCTTAGATGCTACCCGGGTCACTCCTAACACTTGAAATGAAGTGTTTTCGCATCTCGGAGTGTACTGTCTTATCTAATTAGTGGTTCAAAGTCTAATTAGATACAATTATGCACCTTTTCATATTACATAGGAACCTCGCACGTTCTCAAGCCCCGAACTGACACTTAGCATCCAACCGACACACTTCTCGACTGGTGAGTTCATACCCCTACATTTTTCCATGTTTTCAATATTTTCAGGGGGAATACAAGCAAAAGTACAAGAATATCTTGTAGTTAAAGTTATTATTTCGTTTGATATGTTTCATATTTCATATACTTTTAACACTGGAAACCGTTTTAACCAAATGTTTGACTTGTAGAGTTAGTTTTCAAACTAATTGCAAACCTGACTATACAGTGTTATGTTGTATATTTCATCAATGATTTTCCACTTCATTTATGATAAATTCATTAAATTCGAACATTAGAATACGTCCTCGGTAACACTCCACAGAGATGCGCGAGTGGAGGACCCCCGTTGTAACCAGAACCACAAACAGGATTTTGCGCATTATTACCTGTAAATTTGTTAATCTTAATAATTGGAGACGCATCCTCGGAAACACTTCACAGAGATACGCAAGTGGAGGACCGCCCCCGTAACCAGAATCTCTTGGAGGGAGAGCGTGACTTGGGTGTATAGATCTATACGGGATTGACAACCCCGCACCTGGCTGCTAGCTACACTCGAACCGAAAGGTTCAAGGGTGACGAAAATCATAAAATGATGATGGACTACTTATTACCATATATAGTCTATCGTATGGTTATGGAACTCGCAATTTAGATAATAGAGATTTACTTGTTGGTAATAATGGATCTAGTAAACTAATAACCGAATGAATTGGTTTACTTTTTACACAATAGTTTTATATACGTGTTAAAACTATCACACATTTCAAGGATAACCAGGTTTTCAGGAAACACCACACGAACACTTTAAGTATGGTAGATACTTGTACACTACATTCAGAACCGATAACAGATTACTAACTTTTAAGGAAAATAATGGTTTTTCCTAGGATAACAAACTATACATAACCAGATCATATAACAAACGGATAACCAAACTTTACATATAAGAAAATATGGGATTTTCTTGGATAACCACTTTTTCAGAAACCAAAGGAAACTTGTACATTTTCAGAAAACAAACCTCTTATGAACTCACCAGCTTTATGCTGATTTTCAAACTACTTGTATTCTCAGGTCCACATTAGATAGGTACCCACGATCTTTTGGAGAAGACGGAGCGTTTTAGAAGTCACGTCTTTACTTTTGTTAAAACTATTGTACAGTTAAAACATGTATCATTTTAGTTTCAAACAAATGTAATTATTCATAAGTAATGTAATGTTTTATGTTTACTATGCTTACTATGTACATTGGTTGTGATACTACACATGACGTCCTCCGCCCCGGAACGTTTCCGCCATCGGTTTCGGGGTGTGACAGGTATCATAAGTGGTATCAAAGCCCAGTTTCGATTGGGTGTTGTTGTGTTCTTGTTTAAAAAAAATCCTTGCTAAGTTTGTTTGATTTCACTTCCTATTCATAAGTTGTTGTCCAAAAATGTTGCACAAGTTATATGATGAAGAAGACATTAACGAGGAAGAGGAAATTGAAGAAGAGGAGGAAGAAGATTTCGGTCCCATCTGTGACACCGATGGGGAAGGGGAATTTGTGGAAAGAATCAATTTATTAACTGGAGAAGAAATTGTTGAACACTCTAACCCTTTCTATGCCACTGATGGGGAAGACGATCATGAAGAAATTCAAGAAGAAATAAATTTTGTGGTTGGAAACGAAATTGTTGAAACGATTGTGAAAGTAATCGATTTTGTTGTTACAAACAAACTTGTTGAAGAAAAGGTTGAAGAATCCAAAGAGGTGGAGTAGGTTCTTGACCACGAAGATGCGGTTGTTGTTAAGAAGGATGATGATACCTATCTTATAACAAACCGTCTTTGTAAGAACCTAGAAGAAGGTGTGACCCATCAAGTTCCAAGTTCTAAGGAGTTACGAGGGAGGGAGTTCATAATGCTTGGATACCTATTCTTATGGTGTACCTTCAGTTAGGAAGCCATGTTATTGGAACATGTTGTTCATCAACCCATAAGTACAAACCATGATCTAATATTTCATATGACCATTGTTAATCCTTTAAATTATTTCAAGGATAACTTTCTAGGTCCTAATCTTGTTCATGGGAGTGTACAAAAGTGGTTTTTGATCCACAAATGGAAGACGCGGTTAGGATTTCATTCGGCTAGTTATTTGAAGAACATTTGTATGTGGAGAAGAGACCAAATTGGAGTAAAGAAAGATCACATTCTGCAATAAAAATATGTTTTCAAGACCTACTGTCATGGAAGGTTTGTATGGGAGAACAACGAAATTTGGTTCTTACTGGATTGAGGACAATTCCTTTAAAGAAGGGGGGAATGATACATGTGTGGAAGTGACAAATTTTGAAAATAATAATGGTTACAATGTGGATTTGGGAGGAGACCATGGAATGCATGCTACCTTTAATGTGGGAGATCTTTCACCTTATCTTGATGATGATGGACTTGATGAATTGAGGTCAATTCCTTCCAAAGGGGGAGGGGATGATCCATGCAAGGATTATAAAAGCCCAAAAGGTAATGGAATGGTGATTACTAGTGGGCTAGAAGGTGGTTTGGGCTCAATGGTTGGGTTGTGCATGGTAACCTACAAAATGAATGCTAGGGCAACATTTTTAAGGCTTCATAAGTGCTAAAAACATTACTTTTTACTTCATAAAGCCTCCTAGCCGTTTTCAGCACTCTTTGGTGGATTAAGGTTGCACTTTAATGCTTCTTATGGCTCCTTAATGAAGCATAGATGTTTTTTCTTCATCCTCAAGTGTCTTGGACGTTTTTTTTTGTGTTATTTCAAGAGTTTCCTTAATTTTCATTTACTAGCTTTGATGAGTAGTTGGTTGGTTGGCTTGTAACCACCAACTTTGTAATAAAGGCTTCATATAAAGGCATGTTAATCCATGGAAATGAAATAGACGAATTTTTAAGAAAAAAAACCCTTTGTTCACTTAGAATTATTGTTATAATTCACAAATTATCTTGTTGGGACGTGTTCTTGACTTGATACGAACTCAATCCAAGAGGTCTTGGATTGTTTTCATTGGTATACAACTTAATAGGTCTTGAGTTGTTACTAATCTATCAATTTCTTTCCATTCACATATCATTGGTTGCTATTCTCTCTTACTTTACCTAAACACTACCCTACTCACCAAATCAAGCCCATACACGTATCAAATTCCATAATAGAAGTCTATGAAACTTATGCAAAGCTTGGATAAACACTGTATCATTCTTGAGTTCCACATTAGAAGTCTATTCAATTTAGCAAAGCTTTGATGAGCATTGTTTAATTCTTGAGTTCCACAATAGAAGTAGTCTTTGCAATTTAGCAAAGCTTTGATGAGCATTGTTTAGTTCTTGAGTTCCACAATATAAGTCTATATGCAATTTAAGCAAAGCTTTGATGACATTGTTTCATTCTTGAGTTCAACATTAGAAGTCTATGCAATTTAGCAAAGCTTTGATGAGCATTGTTTAATTCTTGAGTTCCACAATAGAAGTATATGCAATTTAGCAATGCTTTGAAAGGAATTGTTTAATTCTTGAGTTCCTCAATAGAAGTCTATGCAGTTTAGGCAATGCTTTGATGGGCATTGTTTAATACTTTTTTTTTTGAAAGAGCCAAAGCTCAGCAAACTTTATTAAAAAGAATAAAAGAATACAATCACCAAAAATTCAAACAAATAACAAAAATAACCAGCCTATCCATAACCAACTACCAAACCACTTCCTAAGAATATGAACTAACCATTCACAACCCCAATAATCCCTAAAATCCTTAAAGTTAGCCCAAGGACTTATTGAATGAGGGAAAAAAGGTAACTTCACCCCCTTGCACCTCCAAAAACTCCGAGAACCATAAGAAAAATAGCAAGGGATAAGGCCCTTAAAAAAACCCTCAGTCCAAAGACTAAACTTTAAGGAAAATCCAACTAAGACCAAAAATCTCAACCAACAAATCACAAATAAAAACCAAACATATTTAAAACTGCTAAACAAAAATAACAATGCAATCCCTATTAAACTCCAAGAGCTGACCAAAATCACTTCTTCTGTCCCTTTTCCAGTTCTTCATCCTCCTCTTGATTTTCTGCATGAAACTCTCTTCCTTCTTTTCACTACTGTCCATCTTCATCCAATGCAAAAGATTCCTGCAAAGAATACAAAACCCAACGAACCAAAAACCAATACCGAGACTCCAGAAATTCAGAATAAGTTTCAGCCTTGACATGGCATCAATCACATGTCTAGGATTTTCAATTTGAATAATCACATAAAAGATCATATCCAAATTAAAAATCCCAATGGTACAAGTCAAATGATTAGAGAGAGAACTCCCCAACCATTGACAATTTCCGTTAATTCCTTTGTAAAACCACTTATTCCAAAATTGCCCCCATCTAAAACCAATACTAAGAACAAACTCAAAATAATTTCTCCACTGCCAACCCCAATTAAAAATCACATCAACCATCAACTTCACAATTCTGAACCAGTAAATCATCTCTTATTTTTGTCCTTTCCATAAATGCCCCAATCCTTATAGATTCTTTCATTAATCAAATTGTTATTATTCCTTAAACCCAACAGCTTTAATCTGATTTCATTCTCAATACAAGCTATCACTCCTTCAGCTGTTAATCTCTTCTTATTAAAAATCCTAGCATTCCTTTCCTTCCAAATATGTGCCATACAATTCGCAAGAATACATTTATTAATTAAATTCTCACCAGAATCCTTGTACAACAGTTTGCAGCACTTCAGAATCAGCTCATTCCAGCCACCCATCACCAAATTAATTCTCATCTTATCACAAAAATGTCTCCAAATACTTTGTGAGAATTCACAATTAAAGAAGAGATGATCATGTGAATCAGGAATTAGATTACAAAAAGGACAGAGGAGAATTCCTGAAGTTTCCCAAACTCTAACACGATCCTGAGTTTTCAATCTATTCAAGATAGCCATCTATAAAATGAAAGAATTTCTAGGAATGCCCTTACCATACCAAACGATTTCCTTCCATGGCACCTTATTCCCAAAATTATTAATATCTCTCCACACTTGATTACACGAAAATTGCTTGCAATTACCCTCCTTATCTCTCCAACCAGCAACATCTCTCATATTAGGATCAATACAAAACATAGGAGCATCCTTTAGACCTGAAAATTTATCAACCCAATTTACAGGCCAACAATAAGTATCATAATCAAGCACATCACTAACCAAAGAAAAGTCATTAAATCCATTACTAAACCATTCTCTTCTTGGAATGATAGTGCTTAAAATACCTAAAGGATGCCACCAATCATGCCATAAAGAGGTGTTCCTCCCATTTCCCACACAAGCAACAATATGAGGTCTAACAATTTTCCTAATTTCCAAAAATCTCTTCCAGGTCCAGCTCATGCTTTTCTTTTGCATTATATCCCAAAAATTCCTCTTTCCAATGTAATAAGCTTTCACCCATTGCACCCATAAAGAATTTTTATTATTAACAACATTCCACACATGTTTTGCAAGTAAAGCATCATTCCATTTCCTTAAATTCTTAATCCCCAATCCTCCATAATCTTTAGGTTTACAAACATCATCCCATTTGACTTTAGCTTTCCCATTAACTTTTTCACCATTAGCCCATAAGAAGCTTCTACACATCTTTTCAATCTCTTTTATAGTTGCAATGGGAATTTTAAAAATTGAAGCCCAATACACATGAATAGAAGTCAACACAGATTAATGAGCTGCAATCTTCCAGCAAACGATAAAGTTTTGCATTTCCAGTTGAAAATTCTCATTCTAATCTTTTCTAACAACTTCTTGCAATCTCTTTCAAAAAGTTTAGTAACACACATAGGAACACCCAAGTATTTAAAAGGAAATTTCCCAACATCAAAAGGAAGAATTCCCAAAATAATTCTCCTCATATTCGGTTTAACACAACTGAAATAGATCTGGCTCTTTTCCATGCTAACCTTCAGCCCAGAAACATTTTTGAAATCATCAAGAGCTTCCCTTATGATTCTAGCCGAATTCCCATTACCATAAGAAAATACCAGAAGATCATCAGCAAAGCATAAATGAGAAATGCTAAGCACCTCACACTTATTATGGTATTTAAAATTATGGCTGTCTTCTATTTTCTTACCAAGAATCTTATTGAATACTTCCATCACTATAGTAAATAAGTAAGGTGACAGAGGATCACCCTGCCTAAGACCCCTCTTTCCTTCAAAATACCCATGGTCTTCACCATTAAAATTGATCATAAACCACGGGGAAGACACACAAGCCATAATCCACTGAATCATAATCGGATGAAATCCAAACCCTTTAAGACTTCTATTAAGAAACTCCCAATCCACTGTATCATATGCTTTTTGAATATCAATTTTTAAGGTGCACTTTGGAACTCCCCTCTTGTTATTATATCCCACCATCAATTCCTGCGCAAGAAGAATATTATCCAAGATCGATCTTCCAGGAATGAAAGCAGATTGATTCTTACTAACAATTTTCCCCAAACAGCTTCTAATTCTATTCACTATAACCTTACTAATACACTTATACAAAGTGTTACAGCAGGCTATAGGTCTAAAATCAGCAACCTTCCTCGGCATATCCACTTTAGGAATTAAAATAACTCTCGTAGCATTTATCCCTTTAAGAAGCTTCCCTGTCCAAAAAAATTCTCTCACTGCTTTGCAAACCTCCGATCCAATAATATTCCAGGCACTCTTGAAAAATTTTGAAGAATATCCATCAGGC